CTGTAATTCACAGCTCTCCAGCGCTTAACTGCTGTAGTACTCTGTAGGACTGGTACTAGCGCAGTATGCTATTGTAACCCAATGAGTTTTGGTACTAGCGCAGTATGCTATTGTAACCCAATGAGTTTTGGACCGTGACTACCATGTGCTTTCATTTCTAAAATCTGTGGTAACTTGTTCCCTTCACCTGTGTCTGAAAACTTGAATTTGTTAGCATGTTTTTCACTGGGTTCCACCTTCTAAATCAGCTTGCATCAATAATAGTTAATTGCTCCCCGACCTCAGGTGTTGTGCCATTCAGCCTCAGCTCTGTCTGCTACAGTAAATTTTTTCATTCACTTTTAATTCCAGGTTCTTCCCTCTTCAGATCAAAAGTTCCATGGTGAGTGATTAAAAGAAAGGACTGTTAAGTGGGTGGAAATTGAATGGATGCAAAGGATTTTAACAGGGAGAAAGACAGTATTTTTATAAATGAAAAAATTGATGCCACTTAGTACTGTTGCCTGAAAGATGATTAAAGTAACTGAAGTTGATCACAATTAGAACTTCAAATTTTTATTGCTTTGAACTGAAGCATTTTTATTTAAATTCATAGTTCATTATTCCTTTGCATGTACTGTTCAAAGTCTGAGCACTGCTTGATTTACAAGATAGAAAATAAGTCACTGAACATAATGGGCTAAACTTCGAACCATACCCTCGAATTTCACACCCATAATTAATCACCCATGCTCAATTGCAGACATAAATGTTAGCATTTACACTTGTAATTGTGTGCAGGCACAGGGAGACGACCTTTTGGTATTGTCACCTGCATCAGATTTCAGGCACAAGAAATAAATTGAAATACTTATAAGGGCCAAGTGAATTACTGTTCCATAGCACCAGGCGGCAGAGTACCGAGAGTACGCTAGGCTTATGTTCTATTATTTTTTATGATAGGAATAACAAAGTACAAGGCTGTTGAAATATGTGTGTTGTAGGCTTGACTTATGTACAGCTGTAAAGCACTTCTAGGATCAGTTCTTCGTTCCACTGGAGTATGAGTTTTGCCTTTAACTTACCCAGAACGAGTGGCTGGCCTGGGGTCAGGAGTGGCCCCATGTTGCACCCCGTGCCGCAGCTGTGAGATGCAAACTGCAAGGGTGCGAAGGGCTCTGCGACCCACAGGGCTCCCCTGGAGGAGCTTTCTATTTGCAGCACCAGAAACTGCTGTAGTGGCCTTCAGTGCTCTGAGAAACCATTTGGACAAAAAGGGATGTATTGGAATATGTGGTGCAATTGCTGTCCCAGCAATAATTCTTCTGAAATACAGCAAATCTCAAGCATCCCATGCAGAAGTGAAGTCCACAGAGTGCTTAAAAACAAACAAACAAGCAAGAAAAACGCAACAAAGAAAAAAACCCCAGCTAATTAAAATAACGTGTATCTTTTGGGCTGTCTGTCACTTTAAAATTGTGATGGAAGTAACTGGTCTAGAGTGAGTTTTAGCTTTATAATTTGCCTTGGCACTTTTTACATAGTTTCCCTTTCCCTGCTTCTATGCTTTTCAGCCTTCCCAAGCCGTGTTTTCGTTCATTTGGTTTTAATTCAGTCCTAGTTCAGAATCTTAATGCCAAAACAATTCCTCTGTGGGCAAAGAAGTGAGAGTACAAGGAAGGCACTGCCTGGTCTTTAAGGCCATGTTTGTACTAGTAGGAGAAGCAGCCAAGGGCTGTTCTGGGGCCTTAAGGCCAAATGACCTGGCGTAGCTTGTGTCCATGCAGCTAAATTAACTTACATCCCCAAAACAGGATGACCTCATCCAAACTTATTGCTCGGAATAGTCCCTGGCCAGTCCTGCTTGGTTTTTATTTGAAACCATGCCTAAAACCGTGCCAGATGTTTGTCTGTACGGGCAGTCATGTGCAGACCCCTGCCTTTGCCCTGGCTGTGGCTGATGGCTGTGGGTCTCGCCTTACCAACCTGGGTCAGGTGCAGGAGGTGGCTGGCACAGGTCTCTGTGAACTCCTGCCAGTTTTACTTCTCAGCCTTTGTGATAATAAGGTTTCCCAAGTTCCGTTAAGGTCTTTAGGCATTGTACTTGCACAGGTAGGCTGAGGGAAAAAACACAGGATTGATCTTCTTTGAAGAATAAGTAGAAAATGAAACGAGCTGAGGAGGAGAAATCCTTTAAGTATCCCCAATAATGACAAATTACAGACCTAAAAATACTGGCTCTTTTAATGTATACTTATTTTTGTAAATTATTTTCTTCTGAGTTCTTTGTAAATTTAAGTCAAAACTTTTGCAATGGAACATGCCAGAGAAGAGCCATACTCAGCACAAAATGTTTTGTTATCAGAGAGCTATAAAATTGAAGGTGCAATGTAGAAAGTTGTTATGTTTATCAAATACCTATTTAACCAATACACCTCTTGTCCAAAGAGCAAGAGTTTCACACTCTAGTATCCTGATGACTTGACTTTTGGCAGCTGGTGAAGCAGCACAGTTGTGTCACGGTGCTAACACAGCCGGGCAGTGTTTATTCCTTGGCCCTGCTGGGGATGGAGGGGGCGGCGGGAGATCTCTGGTACAGCCCCTATTGCTCAGGCTGTGTCCAGTTGGGTCTCCAAACTTAAGGATGGAGACCCCAGCCCCTCTGGGCAGGAAGCTTCTTCCAGTGCTGAATCATCTTCATAGCGAAAATACTGCCTTAGGTCCAGCCAGTACCTCTCCAGCTTCAGCTTGTGACCACTGTTTCCCTGTCTCCTGCCCTGCACCTGAGGACAGAGCCTGGTGCTGTCTTTCCAGTAAGCTCCTCTTGGGCACCAGGGGGCTCCTATTAAATCCCCCTGAAACCATCTCTTCTCCAGGCTAAAGCCAGTTCCCTCAGCCTGTCCTCACTCAGGGCATATGTATATGGTATTGTCAAATCCTATTTATTAAAGTATTTTAAGGGGTGTGTTGATTTCTGTCTCCACCCATGTGTTGAAAAAGAAAAATCAGTGTTAGAAAAAAAACCTTTCATGTATGTTCTGTATTAAAATTTAAAGTCACCTGATGGTTTTAAATTTTGGGGGTTTTATGCTTTCTAGACTGTGCCTTAATCACACGCTCAGCTGCGTTGACTCCCTATGGTTTGCGTAAACCTTTGTGAGTCCTTTAAAACCCAGCAGAAGGAAAGTAATGCGGCATGTTGAAAGTCACCTCAGGTTTTCACAAGCTTCTGAAAGCATCTTGTGTACATCCAGCATACTGGGCTAGTCTGATCCATTGGTAGCATAAGAAAAGACTGAGCATAGCTGGAAAGAAGGGGAGGAGCTGATGTGTTTCTGCTTGGAAATAGCCACTTTGTGCCTGCTCCCCCACCCATTGCACTGCTACAGCCCCTAACTGTCACCCATTTAGGTTTTCTCCTGCTGCCCATTTTCCTTGTCAGCAGGACTCTGTGTGTGTGTGTATATATATATACACATGCACTATCTTCTCCCATTTGATGCCATGTGGTTGCAGAGCAATCTCCCTCTGAAGGAAGTCTTTCTTCAAAGTAGTTACTGGCAACATTTGTTCGGGATTTAGAGCAGAATTCACCCCGCTTTTTAGATGTACTTAATATAGCTGAAAAGATGTTAGGTTCGCTTGTCATTCAGCGGTTACAGCTACATGCAAGGCTACACTGACAAGGTAATTAAGTCTCTCACAGGGACTTACTGCAGTCTGCGCTTTTCTTACTCTGTTCTGTGCATGCGTGCGACGGTCACGTTTAGTTGTGTTGGTAAAGCTCTCTGGCTCCTTGGAGAGAGGACTGGAGATTAAAATCCCCTCCAGTCCTTAACTCGTATGGATCACCATGCCACCAAGCCCTCTTTCACATGAAACACTGAATTAAGCTCTGGGGAGCCTTTTAGAAAATACCTTGGGTCAGAATGGCCTGCAGCACTTCTCATCTACGTGCAATGTGGTTTTCATCAGACCTACCTCCACTGGTAAAAATAACATGAAGGGGAAGTAGCTTAAGGTACGGCCTACTAACATGGATTAATGTGTATGGCTTTTCCAGTCTCGGGAAGTCCACCTGATTGAGATAATTGCTGACAGATAAACAAGTAATGCTACAGGCAGGTCTAATCAATCTTGTATGCTTGTTGCAATAATTACACTGCCAGTAGCTGAGTCGTCATTTTACAAACTGTAGACAGACAGCTTAGGTAGCAGAGTGTGTTTTGTATTTATTGTGTGGATGAGTATTTACTTTTACAACACAAACAGGGAACTTTAAAACAAAGTATCTGTGATTTTTTGAATGAATGAGTAATAGTTTTGCTGGCTTCATTTTTTATCTCTGTTCCTGCAGGTCAAGGCAACAGATGCGGATGCTGACCAGTTTGGTGAAATTGAGTATTTTCTTTATGATGGGTTTCATTACTATGAAAAATCCAAAGCCTTCCAGATTGACCCACGTACTGGTCAGATCTGTGTGTCTCAAGACATTGACAGAGAAGGAGATCCAACCACTTATGATCTCTTAGTAAAAGCTACGGATGGGGTGAGTTTTTGCCTTTCCATACTGCCAGATTTGTGAATGCATTTGCAAACTTGGATGTGCTGTATGCTTTTAAATGAGAATGTAATGACTATGTAAAAATTGCATGAATTTGAATAAAATTTCTTACCCCTACAGAGGGCAGAAAGTAATACATCATGAACCATAAATTTTGACCCAAATTAATAAAATTGGTTGTGAACTCCCCAATAACTCCTAAACAAGTTGTTGAAAACCACTTCTAGGATATGTTAGTCCCTGCTCATTTTCCTCTTCCTTTTGGACCCAGTGGACTCCAGGTTACCTCCACTCCCTGCTTTAAAGATGACTGCAGCAGTAATAAACCAGTAACTTCGTGCTACAGCTGTGTGGCTACTGGCCTTGTCCTTTCTAGGTAGCTGATGCCGTCGCTGCTGCTGTGGCTGGGTACAGCCTCCCTGCAGCGGCACGTCTGAAAGTTTTCCCACTTTTCAAGATCTGGTGCTTCAAGTGGGTATTCATGGTACAGGGCAGGCAGGGTAGTTGCACATGCCTGAAATAGTTCAGATCTCTCTTTGGCCAGGAGGTTGAGGAGATGCTTGTTGTGGTAGAAAAATATTGAGATGTCAGGGTGCCAACACTTTGTCTACCTGGTGGCATGTAACAGAAAATTTTGGTAGCACGATTCCTGAAACAGACTGGAAGGAAATAGTTTCTGGGTTCATTTTGTTACTAAAGTATCCAAAGGCGATTTGCAATGAGAGTCACAGAAAGAGACCAGCCCCGACTCTTCTTGGCTTTCTTCAGCTTTAGTAATGAACTGTGAAAAGGCTGAAGAAAAAGGTTACTGGTTGGCTTCAAATGTTAAAATTAATGTAAGTACACTTCAAAAATTGTTATTCAGGTCACATTTTGGAGCACAGTTGGAGCTGAAAAACATTGAAATTAAATTATTTCAGGCTATACAGTATTTCATATCTTGAATATTAACTTTTCATTTAAGATGTTGTCCTAAGTGTATCTAATATAAATTTTTAAAAATACAATTGTGCTAGAAATACTGTATTTTTCATTAAAAAGATCTGTGCTTTTTTTTTTTTTACAATACACTGAAGAAACTTGGTAAACTATGATTTCCATATTCATGAGTAGATGAACTTAAATAGCTGCAGTTGATGCTTGGTATTAATTACTGCATTTTGAGAATGTAGTAGTTGAGGGTATATTTTTATGCTGTTGAATTTGGGTATATATGTAATAGTTAAGCAATTCAGCTGCTTTTTTCTTTAGCTATTGCTATTCAGTGTTTATTTCAGAGGCTACAGAAGCATTCTCCTCTTGTATTAATAGTGCCTCTAGCAGAGTGCCTTTTCTTCCCCATAGATTTCTTTTGAGGAGAAACAATTTATATAAGAATGTATTTGTTTGTTTCTTTGTATGTTTGTTTCCTGACTATCTTATTTGAATGTCTAATAACTTAAGAATATAAGTCTTTCAGTTAGGATAGTGTAGGTAGTCTTTCCAGCAGAAGTAAGTTTGTGTCCATTGTGGAATTTCTCTGATTTGTGATTTCTATCTTCAAAATTCCTGTCTAGGCAAAACTTTGTAGGATGTACCCGAGTACAGATTTCCAAGCCTTGAAGAATGAAGCAGTCAGTATTATAATGTATAACAGCAGAAAATTATGTATTCTGCTATAGTTTATCACTTCATTTTTTTCTCTCGTATACATGGTTTGAAGCTGTATAAATGTAAAGAACACATAAACGTATCTGGAATATCAAGATTAGTTTTATTAAGGCTAAATGAGAGCAGGATGATAGCAGTGAAATGCTGATAAGTTTCTCAGATAACCAGTCTCATCCAGAAGATTATTTTGAAAATGTGAAGGAAAATGGGTTTACATGAAAAAAGCTTGATGCGTTTTTTGGTTAAATTACTGCTCTAGTGATAAATCTTATGTCAAAAGTTAAAGGAAAACAGCCACTGCATTGAATCTATAAGTTATTTCATTTTTAAATCGGTCTGTCATTTATTGACCTTGTGTTTTCAGAAGTTCGGTAATGGGGAGGAGTGTTCAATTTTTGATTGCCTTGTCTGCGACAGGAAGGACTTGATCTTACTGGAACTCAGCACTTTGTAGATCCCATTGATTTTTCTTCTAAAAATTAGCTCATCTGACAGCTAAATACTAAAGCACGTAAATTCAATATTAGCTTTTCAAAATCTTCAGTATACCTGAACTTACGTTGAGCCACTCTCCACCTTTAGAGCAGAATTGTAGTACGATATTTTACCACCTGGCATTCTGCTGCTGGGCTTGATGGATAAAAGATGTTAGGTGTGGTGTTCAAAGTGGAGGCTGCGATCGGGGGAGAAATGTGTGCAGAAAAGAAAGAGGAAGAGTGAAGGATCACCCTTGGCAAAGGGGAGGGAGAGAGATGAAAAGGAAACAGAATAACAAAGTTAATTAGCAAGGAGGAAAAAGGAAGCCTTTTCCAGGTGGTTCTTGTCTTGTCTTACAGCAAAACTCTCAGCTTCCTCCACCTGTTCATGCCTACTCCATTACATGGTTTTGGAGCTTGTTGGTCATGTCTTTTATGCACTGTGTAGAAAGCGTAATGGGAGAACTGAAACTGCATGAGAAGCAAGTGAAAACCAGATTCTGTTAAACTGGTGTTAAGTAAACATCCTGTGAGAGCGTTCTCACTGATTAAGCGGGGACAAGACTGATCATAACGTTAGCTTTTGCAGCTGGCAGCGCTGATTTTGGTCCCAAAGTCACTTACTTCACATAGATATTTGGTTGTACTCCTTGAAATGCTTTTATATGAAAAGAAATAATGTGGCTAGGTTTATAGAAAGGTGTTTGCGCTGAATCCCTCAGCATCTGTTTCCAGCCCACCCCTTGGGTCTCTGTCTGCCTGGACTGTGGCAGACAGAGCTGCTCCGATAGTGAGGGTGACCCTCCTGTGATTCACATGCCAGCTCTGCCTGGGACACCCCCTTTTCAAACCGCACCCTTAGTCACAATAGGTGTGTTTCTGCACTCGTGACAGATCACAGACAGTTCCAGTAGGCATTTGGGGTGTCTTTGAATTTACAGTCAGCTGAAAATTTCTTATAATGATATTAAAATTGTAAATTTCCTCTCTCTGGAAAAAAAAAAGAGAAAATCAGATGGAGGTATGTTGCTTGGGGAGCCTCCACAAACACTTGAGAGAGATTTAGGTGAGGCATGCTGTGAAATCACGTCTTGCAAAGAGGAAAATGTGGAATAACAGGAATTCTAATAAAAGTATTTGCCTGTTCTCAAAAGCAGTATAGGAGACAAAAGGACTACTTTTCTGATTTTGAATATGTGCAAATTGAGTCTGATGTTTTGTAATTCTTCTGTTTTGCTTTTTTTTTTGTTTGCTTTCACAATGTGACTGAAACAGACACTCTGTGTGTTTTTCCCTGTTTGCTTGGGGGTCTCCAAACTACTATATATGTAAATTTATGCTTTCTTTATGCTTGTTTTGTGTATGTCTGCCTTAAAGAGTCTTAACATGAATTGATTTTCATACAGGAAACTTTTCTAACAGCATACAGTTTTGCTGCTGTACAGTGGCAAATTTTATTACTGTATATCATGCATAATTCAATCTTTTTTTCTTATGCATTTGTATTTTTTACGATGCCCATCACCTCTCTTTCAACTAAATAAACAGTAATGCCTGCAGCTGTTAAAGAAAACCTGTCACAATCCAGAGAAATTTAATTGGAATAATGCTAATTTAAATTGTCTAGTGGCATCTGTACTATCTGCTTACAAATGACAGTTGTCTGGCTTTCAAAGCCAAAATCTTGAGTTGCACAATCTTGGGGTTGCTGCACAACGAGGGGCGTTCAGGAGTGTCTGACCTTGACTCTGGGAGGAGCTGGCCTGCACAGTTTTCCTCAAAAGCTGGGGAAGACCGGATGACCTACACTTGTGAGAGGTGCTACCAGGCATAGACCAATTCCAGCAACAAACAACTCTATAGGTAACAGTGTGCATACCATCTCTCTTTGTCAGTGTGGCAAGAAATTTTGAAAACTGCAGAGCAGAAGCAGGGTGTTCTACAACTCCTTTTCCTCCACCACTGTAAGGAGTGCCACACCACATCTATATACCCTATTGAGAGTCCAGCAATTTGGGCTTGTGGCATTTCTTTGTCTTTCCCTTTGCAGAGTGGACTGCCTTGGTTTTGTTTTCTCCAAATGAGGTTCTTGAGCGCTGTGATAGGACTGCCCTTAATGATTATTTGAAGGCTGCCATTGAATGGTGGTGGGAGGCCTTTTGGTGGGTTTGTTTGAAAATCTGTGCCCCAGTGCTTTTTTGTCATTTTTCCTGTTTTCCCCCAATCCGTCCCTGTTAGGCTCTGGTTTCAGCATATCCCAGGACTCACTAGCATGTAGTGCTTCAAGTACCTTCTAAATGTGTCCATGTTTCACAGCTTTTTTTTAATTTGTTCCTTGGGCACAACGTGAGTGAGAAGGGAAGGCTGGAGCTTTTTGTTTGAGCTTCCTTTTCATTTGGACTACAGTCATAGCTTTTAGACATTGTCAGGGTTGAAGACACTTGAGGGCATATGTCTTTCATCCTAAGGATGGTCCAAGGAAGCCATCCTCACTGTAGTGGTAGATCAGAGGAGACTAGACTATTTCAGTTGGAAGGGACCTACAATGATCATCCAGTCCAATTGCCTGACCAATTCAGGGCTGACCAAGTTAAGGTGTGTTGTTAAGCGTATTATCCAAATGCCTCTTAAATACTGACAGGCTTGGGGCATTGACAACCTCTCTAGGAAACCTGTTCCAGTGTTGGTTCACCCTCTTGGTAAAGAAATGCTTCCTCAGGTTCAGTCATTCCTCTGGCGCATCTTTGAACCATTCCCACGTGTCCTATCGCTGTATCACAGGGAGAAGAGATCAGCATAAAGACTGAGGCAAAAACCACATTGAATGAGTATGCTTTTTCTTCATCCCTGTTAGTCAGA